ATCAATTTTTAATTAATATTTAGCCAAAATTAAAAATTTTGATCTAGACTTTTCTTTTATGAGATGTTTCTAGGCGCAGACGCGAGTAAGGCGCAGGCGCAAGCTAAGCGCAGGCGCGAGCTAAGCGAAAGCGCCAGTGTTGTTGTTTAGAGTACTCATAACGATCAATAGGTGGCGCTACATATTTTATTAATTATTCTTTAATAATTTTGAACCAACAATTTTGAATTATATTTTTATTTTATTCTATTTTCAACAGATATTGACTATAGTTTGGAATTTTTTTTACTATGAATACTACCCACTGAGTTGTTGTTCTTTCCGTGTACACAGAAAAAAAAATTAACTTGATTCAAAAGAAAAATTCTTGAACCAAAAATATAATTTTGAAGAGGGTAATTGTCTAGAATCAAGACGAAAAATTTCTGAATTAAGTAAAATTTCCTTAAAACAAGAAAAATTTCAAATAATATAAATTATAAACCGTCACACTTCATCACCATGTAGATTTAGCTTAAAAGAATGATGAGATGTACATTAGCTTATCGATGTAGGTGTAGAAGTCAGTTATCGGTCTGGCAAATTTGCAGCTCGGGTTCGAATCTCGGTTAGAACACATGCGATTTTTACTTCATTTCTTTAATCAACGAAAGTTAGATTTGAATTAAGAGCTAAACGATCTAAACTTACGTTGACTCTGCATCAAAATGAGAATTAAAAGAAATAATTAAAAAATTTTTTTTCATAATTTTTTATCTACAGGATGGGCTAGACATGAAAATTAATTATGGCCCAGTTTTGGTAACCAGCCAAGGGCGTGAAAACCAGGCTTGGGCCATCGTTATCATTCCAGAGTTAAACCAAAACTGGGCTGATTCTGGCTTAAAAGCCTGGAGTAGAGTTCTGCATAGTTGGGCTAGGCCTGGGCCCGCCACACTTTTCTACATAGATACACAAAAAAAAAGTTTCTGAGTCAAGTATATATTTTTGAAGAGCTCAATATTTTTATTTGAGTAGAAAATTTCTTGATTTAAGAAAATTTTTCATGATTTAAGGAAATTTTACTTAATTCAAGAATTTTTCGTCTTGAGTCTAGATTATTACCCTCTTCAAAATTATATTCTTAATTCAAGAATTTTTCTTTTGAATCAAGTTCATTTTTAACTTCCCGCTAAGAAAATCGAAGATTTTCAAAAATCGGGAAGTTATTATTTTCACTCCGTTTCGCAAAAATCGAGTTTTCATCAGATCTCGACGTTTGAAGGTCACAGGAAGCTTCCCTGACTATCCCTGCGAGGTTGTCACTATGTCTGTATGTATGTATGTGTGTGTGTGTTGTTTTTTTTTTTTTAATAAGGGGGGGGGAAATCCTTTTTACGGATTCTAGGCATAGCTGTTTGGGCTGGATATGAGGCGACTCGACGCAGCGTCATACTAAAACTTGATGCTAACGCCCCTACCCACTAAACCCTAAACCTCTTTCCTCTAATCCCTCATGGGAACCGCCGTTAGGCATTACTTTGTGGGAGGAGGATATAGCTACTGCTCTTCCTTCCGGTAGCTAAGGTGTTATTTTACTTTTCTTCTAGTTGTTGTCATCTGCTCTTCTTCTTTCGATGGAATGCAAGTCTATGAGGACTTCTGTTGCAAATGTGCTGATGGCGTTCCAGGAGGCTCTTGATGACAACATTGCTTCTACTATTGTCTGTGGTTGGATTTTGTTTTCCAGGATCATCTCCAGCTCATCTCGCTGTGGATAAAATCGTGGGCACTCAAAGAAAACGTGCTCCGCGTCTACATTGATTCCTGGGCAGGACGGGCACTCTGGTGAATCATCATGCTTGAAGCGGTGAAGATACGTCCGAAAACATCCATGTCCTGACAACATCTGCGTCAGATAGTAATTGACCTCGCCATGACTCCGGTTTAGCCAAACGTCGATCTTCGGTATGAGACGGTGTGTCCATTTTCCTGTTGTCGCGGCGTCCTACTGCGATTGCCATTGTGCGATGCAGTTCTGCCGTTCTTCAGCTCTGAGTTCCTCGGCACTTAGTGTGGTTGACCTCTTTCGTTGGAAAAGGTTCCGTCTTTTCTCAGCTAGAACTCTGAGCGGCAAAGTTCCGGAAATGACACACACTGCTACTTCTGATATCGTGCGGAATGCACTGGCTAGTCTTACAGCGTTCAGTCGATATACTGGTCCAGCTTTTCACCATGATTCTTGCAACTTCAGCACGTCTGCCCAAATGGATATTCCATATGTGAGCACCGATGTGACATGACGTGCCGCCGACGTTCGGCATCAGTCGTGCGAGACTAGCCCTCACTACTGACGCTTTGGCACTGACGTGTTCCACTTGCTGTTTAAAGTTGAGTCGGGCATCAAGCATCACTCCCAAATATCGGATAATATTTGCATAAAATAGAATCATAGACATATGTATCATATTTTAGTTACCACAAGCCAATAGTTTCAGCAATAGAATTTTATAACGAGACTGATTAATAAGAATTACTTATAATAATAATAATATTAATAATAATAATAATAATAAACTTTTTTTGTAATTATTTTCATTTCTATTTTTCTATTTCTATGTAATTTTTTATGTTGTCAAACAAAAATAAAGAGACATATTTTGTTATTTTAGTTGATAATTTGAATTACGATGTTTTTTTATTTTAAGTAATTCATTATTTCCTAAAATACTGAATTTCCTAAATACTTTCTTGTATATAAATAAAAACTAATCAGCAAAATTTAAGAGAAAAATCAAGAAAACCTACATACAATTGAGCACGATTTTTTTTTTCAATTTGTGTCGATTCTACATTAGCCGAAGGAACTTCGTTCCTACCTGGTGTCCCACGACACCACATCATTTTTTTTGTATAAATCACAATTTCATCTGTTACACTCACCTAAATTTATTCGTAGCAGATTCTCCTAATTCATAAAATTTAATTTCTTCTGAAAAGACGTCAAGCGGCACATTCACTGGCCGTCGAAGTCGTCCTCCGCTTTGATAATAATAAAGAATTGCATCGAACGAAGGTCGGTTTCGATCGAAAAAATATTCGTTGCGTAATGGATCGAAGTACCGAATGCGCCTTGAAGGGTCACCTAGTAAGGTATCCGGGAACTGGTTCAGTGTGCGCAGTTGTGTCTCAAATCGTAATCCGCTAACCTGTAATAAAAACGAAATCAATCCAACCTGTTATTTTATAACATTTTCGCAAAATTCAGTGAATGTCAAATAAGAAATTGGTTCATTGACAGCCGAAATAGAAGTATATTTTTCATTTTTATTTAGATTTTTTACAAAATTAACAAATCTTTATCCGGAAGGTATTTTAACAGAAATCGTAATTAATAAATGTATTACGATGTACGCCTATTGAGGAATAAATTGCAAGATTTAAATGAAATTATAAGAAATGTATATCATCAAGTTTGTAACAAAAAAATACCCTCGAGCCGACGGTGGAGTGGTCCGCCGTCTCGTATCCTTGTCCAGGTCGCCCAATAATTAACTTAAAAACGAAAAACGACTTAGGAGGTGCTCTCAACCTGCTAAGCAACCCGCAGCTTTGTTTCAGGCTGGGTAAGTGTACGATGCATTGCTGGACGCCAGTTATTTTCTACGGGAAATAACAAACTTTGATTTCGGTCAGGGTCAGGGTCTAACCGCTCATATTTTTAAGGCTTGAAAAGGTGGAGGCTTAGGTTAGAAATAAAGGAAAGTAAATAAGCAATAGAATATGATGTGCTAATTACAATAGAAGACAAATAATTTTCCTTCTATGGTCAGATATTAATATAAAAAAAATGGATTTAAACCAAAATACTGAAACCTAATTTGTCGCAAATAATAACAGTAATTTTATTGAATGCTGTCACTTGTGTAGCAAACGCATTTACAATAATCTCGAATATATATGGGTCATTCCATGTCAAATCGACAAATTTTTTACCTGACCCCCTTTGATTTCGCTGAGAATTTTCTATCTTTTTCTACCCCCCGAAAGTAATTTTTCAGAATTTTTTCAAATTTTTTTTCCCGACTCAAAAAAAGTTATGAATTTAAAAAAAAAACCGCTCTTTTATTTTTAAATTGCCAGAACTTTTTCAAAAATTGACCGTTTGGGAACTTTTTTTTTCAAAATTTTTGTTTTTAAATGTAGTTTTCGAAAAAAAATATGAAAAAATTTTCCGAATCCCAGATATATGAAATATTTTAGTTTTTTTGAAAAAACCGTAATTTTCTCAAAGTCCGACCGTTTTTTTTTTTTTTTTTTGCTCTAAAAATACTTCCACTAATTCTGCAATGATCCCCGTTAATCAAAAGATGTGACTACAATCGCTTCTAATTTTTTTTCTTGATTATAAAAAAATTTTTGTTGAATTTTTGCTTTTATATAACTTTGTTATGAAATTTTTTTTATTTCCTCGTAAAACCTCAAAAGTTGAAAAATAAAATTTTATTGGAGAATTTCAAGTGATTATCGTCCAAGAAATTGTTATTTTAAAAAAAAATAATTTTTTTCTCTCATTGACGTTATTTTTTTACTCTTAAGGACGTTTTTTTTGGTACTGAAATATGACAACTTCAAAAATATAATGGGTTTAAAAGTTACCTCCAGTTGATACAATGTGATCATTTAAGAGCTATCGATTGTCAGTAAAAAAAAAATCATCTACATTTCATTTAAATAATATGGAGGTTATGTTCTCAGAATAATTACATTGTCGTTGTATTCATCGTGTCACGTAGACTTACTATTGCTAAATAAAGTACCTATTATTTATCATAAAGTGCTGTTAATTTATATTTTGTTAATGAGTGATTACAATGCCGAAGTTTTTTGATCGATGTTGCAATCCATTTATTTTGGAGAAGCATAGAAAAAAAATATCCCTGCGAAATTTATCGGAGCATTTAGCAATTCGATACAATTTGTCCACTGATGAGCGAATATGTAGTTCATGTTATAAAAAAATGCTTCAGCCCTCTATTGAAAATACCTCTGATGAAAGTGATGATAATCAAAACAATGATTATTTTGGAATTGATCAAAATATTATCAGTGGATCTATAGAAGTTTACGATTCCGAACGCAATAATCTGACAGGTATTTTCTAAACTTTCATACGTCTCGGTATTCAACTATTAACGTTAATTTTTTATAGTTTTTATTCGTTCTTTTTTCTAGAGCCAACGACAAGTTATGGAGAATCACTTGTTAAACAAAGTAGTTCGTCGTTATCGGAACTGAGTCTGGAGATAACTCGTCCGACCATAAATGATGCCCTACAGTTGTTAAACCAACCCCCATTGCTTACGAGAAGACAGAATGATGATACGTATTTGAACAATAAAATCACTCGTGTTGCTTATAATTTGAGAAAGGCATTAGGAGTACAAAATGCAGTGAAATTTCAATGCAGCGATACAGATGCTGCTGAAATAATTGAAAAATTGAGATAGAAGTTTAATGACACTGATACAAGCACATCGTTACGTTTACAAATTTTGACTCTAATGCCGTCAAGTTGGAGCATTGATAAGATTGTCGAGGTTATGGGTGCTACGACGTATATGGCACGATTAGCGAGAAAGCTTGCTGCTGACCAAGGAGTTTTACCAATACCTGAAAAGAAAATAGGTACGATATTGAGTTACAAATTAATTTTGTTTGGAATCACCAATGCGTGAATATTCATAAATTAATTTATAACATCGTTATTTTCAGGCCATGGATTATCTTCTAAAGTGTCATCAGCTGTTATAGGTTTTTATAATGACGATGAAATGAGTAGTGTTATGCCAGGAAAAAAGGATTTTATTTCATTGTGTAATGATGATGGTTCGAAAGTTCAAGTGCAAAAACGTTTAGTACTTTGTAATTTGAAAGAGTTACACAAAATATTCAAATCAAGATTTCCCGAAATTGAAATTGGATTTTCTTCATTTGCATCATTACGCCCAAAACACTGTATTTTAGCTGGTGGATCTGGTACTTACACAGTTTGCGTTTGCTCGATTCATCAGAATATAAAACTCATGATTTTAGGTGGTAAGTTATGTCGATTAACTGAAGGCTCAAATTTGCCGGTGGGAACTTATAATGACTGTTTAAATGCAATTGTGTGTAAAGAACCAACGGCTGAGTGCTATTTCAATACTTGTGCTAATTGTCCAGGTGTTGAGAATATAAAACAGTTATTACTAACAGAAATGGATAATAATGGAATCGATGGAGTAAGTTACAAACAATGGGTGTCAACTCCGAAAGTAACACTTGAAACAACCATTAAAAGTACTTTGGATTTTGTTGATGACTTCTGTGAAAAACTTGTTGCTTTATTACCACATAATTTCATTGCAAAAGAGCAAGCGGCTTATTTGAGAGCGTTAAAAGAATCTATAACAGAGAACAAATTTATAGTAATTGTTGATTTTGCTGAAAATTATGCATTTGTTGTCCAAGATGCTGCACCGGGATTCAACTGGAATAACGATCAAGCAACAGTTTACACAGTCGTTATTTATTATAAGGTAGAAAATCAACTTACTCATCAAAGTATGGTTATCATTTCTGATTGCTTGAACCATGATTCTATTGCTGTCCATATTTATTCTGAGATCATTATCAATTTTATTAAGTCTCTGTCGTCTACAGTCGCTAAAATATTTTTCTTGTCGGATGGTGCACCTCAGCAATATAAAAATTACAAGCATTTTAGTAATTTATCGCATTATCGTAGAGAGTTTGGTGAGCTCACGGAAAAGGGCCTTGTGACGGGGTCGGCGGGACAATTAAAAGAAAGGCCGCGCGGGCAAGTCTACAGTTACCACCT